GAAAATGTAGAAACTTTTAGGTATGTACAGGGGCGGACCGTAGTACAGACCCAGGGGGCTGCCGCCCCCCAACAATTTTTTTTAGTGTATATATATATACAAAATTTTTATTTTTACCCCCCCAACATTTAATTCTCGCCCCTCCAAGAAAAATTTTGAACCCCCTCAAAAAATATTTTCTCCCCCAAAGCATAGCCCACTCGCACAAACCCAATTGTTTAAGAGCCTAAAAAAATAGAAATTTTACAAGTAATATTATATCAACTCACTCCAAAATTTATTCCCCATTAACCCACCCCAAAATCTAATCCCAGCCCACAGCCTAGACCAAACTAATGAAAAACATGTGCACCTAGAAGAAAGAAACGGAAAGATCAATTATTTTTAAATGATTGTCCTTATGCCTGCTATGTTAATTGCTTAGCACATCAGTTGCAATTAGCATTGGTTGCTGCTTCTAGAGAGGTGAAATCTGTGCACAATTTTTTCATCGATTCAGTCTTTATTATTAATGTGACTAATTCTTCTTGCAAACGAAGTGATGAATCAAAGGAAGCTCAAGCACTTGAAATTGCAAGAATGTTGGAAATTGGTGAGCTTGAAACAAGCAGAGGACTTAATTAGGTTGGTACATTACAACAAGCTGGGGAAACTCGTTGGAGCTCACATTTCAGTTCTGTTTGCAGTTTGATTAGGATGTTTGCTGCAACTTGTTCTGTTTTAGAAGATGTTGAAGAGAATGGCAATAACTATTCTACTCGTGGAAATGCAGCTAGAGAACTTAAGAAGATTAAATCTTTTGATTTTGTTTTCTTGTTGCATCTTATTAAAGAAATTATGGGCATTACAGATCTTCTATGGCAGCATATACAGAAGAAGTGCCAAGACATAGTAAATGTTATATATGCATTTGGTGTCAAGCACCAAAATGTTGATCCAAAAGCTAAGGGAGGGTGGATGGGATAACTTCTTAGAAATTGTTAAAGAGTTTTACACAAAGCATGAAATTGAAGTTACTAATATGAAGTCTCCTTATGCGGTAAAACGCAAACGCCATGATCAAGAAGGGTTTGATATTGAACGTCACTGTCGGGTTGATATGTTTTACGCAGCCATAGATTCATAATTGTTGGAGCTGAATAGCAGATTCGGTGAACAGATAATGGATCTTCTTACTCTTAGTGGTGCTTTGGATCCTAAGGACTCATATAAGTCTTTTAACATTGATGATATCTGTTCTTTAGTGGATAAATATTACCCCTTTGATTTTATTGAGCAGGAGAAGGTGAGCTTGAGGTTTCAATTGCAACATTATAAGCTCAATGTTGTAAACCATCCAAAGTTGGCGAATTTTTCTACAATTGGTGAACTTTGTCAAAGATTAGCGGAGACGGAGATGTCAAAAGTGTACTTTCTTAGCTTGTTGATAAATTGATCCGACTTTTGTTGACTCTACCGATTTCGCCAGCAACAACCGAAAGGACTTTTTCCGCAATGAAAATTATAAAAACAAGGCTTCACAATAAAATGGAGGATGAGTATGTTGCACACAACCTTATTGTTTATATTGAAAGAGAAATTGCTAAAACTTTTGACTAAAAAGCCGTGATTGAGGAATTTATCTCGTTGAAGCAGCGTTGGGTACAATTCTAAGGTACTAACTTTAACTATTTTGTAATAATATATTTGTCTCTTCTTCTATTATAATGCTTCATTTAATTACTACACCGTATTATATTAAGGTTATAACTTATAATAATAATAATCGCCTAGATTTTTTTTTGTTTAAATTATCGCCCTCCAATATCAATTTCCTGGGTCCGCCCCTGGGTATGTAGAACTAACTTTTAGGTAATGCCCGAAGTAGTTGAATTGCTCAAATTGTAGAAATTCCAAGTGAATTGATTGATTCAGTTGAATTACGAAGAACAATACATTCGAGTATACTCCGTGTTTATTGATTAAATACTTCCAATCTTATTTATTTTATTGCTCATCGCAAAATGCAGCACCATCAAAACTTTAATGTTTGGTATAATTTTTTTTATTGTGGTATAAATTTTATTGATAAGCTGAAAACATAAGTTAGGAAATTCTATCCAACAAGATACGTATTACGGAAATCCCACTCTTTTTTGGTAGTGGGAAACAAGCAATCACTTCTCAATAGTCAATAGGATGTGCCTATTGCTTCAACCACTCGCGATGGATATATTTGGAAAAACTTTATTATTTGGCTCCTTGAGTCTTCCAATTTTCTATTTTGTGCCTCACCTATTTTATTTTGTACCAATGCTCCTAAATAGCATTAAAATATTATTACTCGGTATATGTTTTTTCATTAATACATATATTAATGTAGGTTTAAGAAACTTTACCCATACATGGTGGTTATAAATGAAGACAAGGAATGAACATTTTGCAAGCACTGCACTTGTATTGTATCTTGTCTTTATGTATGGTAGCGTTTTGGTAAAGAAACTGCTCATCAAATAACAGTTTTCTTTGCAGTGCTCAAATAAGAGTTAAGCATGGAAAATATTCAGATTAGGACTACTAGTTTTTTATCCTCCAAATAGAATTTATTTTAGTCGTATTTCAACAAATGAGTGATGTTTCAAGTGCTATTTTTATCCCCCATAAGATGTGATCTTTATCCTTTTTAACGAAATGTTTTCACTTGAATTTGTTCCAACCTAACTAAATGAATCAAACTTAAAAAATCCGACGGACTTAACTCAAAAAATAGTAAAATAAACATATAAATTGACTATACTAGATTAGCCAAGATTTAGAACATGTCAAATGCAACAGTGTGCATGACGGACATGTGACATGAAAGAGATAGACACATAAAAGTAAATTATTGAGATTTTTCTCTCCTTTTCACGATTTTATATAATTTTGGTAAGAATGTCAACCACAATGTCTACATCCAGATGCTCTTAAGCACACCAGATTAGATCAAACCAGACTTTAAGTAAAACTATTCTAAATTGACCATCCATCTGACTAATAAGTAAGCAGAAGCATAATTCTATAATTGAAACTTGAATTGTGACCCCTCAACGAACATGGTTGATAAGAAAAAAAGCTTGAGTTTGCCAGCCAGTACACCACTTTCCCGCCCACCTAACATATATTTTCATTTCTTCTTCTCCATATAAGTCTATCTCCCCCATCTTCGCATGCACATTGCCACACCACCACCTCACTCTTAGTCTTTCCTCTCCATATTCTTGAAGAAACGAAAGCACAAAAAGAAAAAAAATGAAGTCTTTCGTTGTCTCAATTCCCTTCTTCCTAGTCGCAGTTCTCCTATGTTATACCATAAACATTGCTCATGCACAGGCCGCCTCCGGCCCGGCTCCTGCCGGTCCGACGAATATAACCGCAATCCTCGAGAAGGCCGGCCAGTACACCACCTTCATCCGCCTCCTCAAAACCACCCAAGTCGGTGATCAAATCAACAACCAGCTCAACACCACTAACCAAGGATTGACGGTTTTCGCCCCCACCGACAATGCCTTCTTGGGGCTAAAACCAGGAACTTTAAATTCCTTAACCGATCAAGAAAAGGTTGAGTTGGTTCAGTTCCATGTTGTGTCCTCTTTCTACACAATCCCACTCTTCCAGACTGCGAGTAACCCTTTGAGGACTCAAGCCGGGAACAGCGTCGGGTCTTTCCCGTTGAACGTCACATCTGCGGGGAACCAAGTCAATGTCACCACCGGAGTGGTCAACTCCACGGTGGCTAATACAATTTACACTGATGGTCAGCTGGCAGTGTATCAGGTTGATACCGTGCTTCTTCCTATCGGCCTCTTTGGAACTCCGGCACAAGCGGCGGCTCCCGCCCCAAACAAGTCGAAAAAGAAGCCGAAGGCAGTGGCTGATGGTCCCGTCGCCGGTGGAGATGCTTCTCCGACGGATACGTCCGCTACAGTTGGCGTGCATGGCATGTTGGGGGCAGTTCTTGGAGTTGCGGCTTCGATTGCGTTTATGTTGTTGTAACATTTGTGTATCGAAGGGTCGAGATTGTGCCACGCGGTTAAGTGAAGTCAGTGTGTGTCAGAATATGGTGTGCCGAGTTAGAATCGGACGGTAGATATTGATTGAGTGGTACCCTTCTGAATAATTATCTAGGTTTTTATTTTTCCGTATCAATGCAATGTAAGAAAAATACAAAATTCAAATTTCAATTTTTTCCCTATTTGTATTGCTTACCTTACCAACCAGAGAAAACACAAAAAAAAAATTATGGAAAGTAGTTTCTGTACATAAGTTCTTATATTAACGTGTATACGAAGTATTTTTTTTTGCTCAAACATACACATCTATTATTCTATTAATTTCTTCTTTGACCATGAACTGACAATAAGTCAATAAGCCCAAAAACTTTTATACAAGTGTGTGCTATTCTGATAGTGTTCTAATTAGGTAGTGGATCCAGAAACCCAGTTCAATCACTTAGGGAAAGGTAGTGAGATGTTTCCAATTAAATTGAAACAATTCTATTGTTGAAATTTGATCTGTTGTGAAACTGAAACCAGTAGAAATGAAAACATAAGAGTATAGCTAAGCTAAATTCTTGATTTGTTGAAATGAAAACGAGGTGGACTTTTCAAGTACAATAACCTAATTAACCCGGAGATGCCTGTAATTTGTTGAATTTAAATTTTCCCAAGTGTTATTTTTCATCTTGCTATATATGCATGTAACAAATTATTGGTTTCTTTTAAATTTTATTGTTGCAGAACGCCAGAAGATCTCACTTGCATAATATATTAATATCTCGTATCCTAAGAGATTTCTCCACACAAAATACCAGAGATCTCGGAGCTAGTTTTCTTTAGTGCACCTAAAGCTCTTCCCGGAATCCCGGGCCCTTGTTTGGTTGGAGGGCTTTGGACAACTTTCAAAATAACAATGTATCTTCAGTGTATCAATTGATTCTCCATAAATGTTTTATCTACATTGACAAATGAATGATTTTACAAATTCCGGCAGGTAACTTTCAGAATCAGAATATAACACAATAATCGAATAGTCCAGAATCAATAATGAATCGAGATATGTTAGCGCAACAAAATCGTATTCTCAAGTAGCAACATCATCTCATATGAGTTCACTTTCAGAGGCTAGGTACCTCGCACATCCATGATAGACCAAACAAGGTAACATGAGACAGCTCCATGTGCATCATTGTAATATACTGCATAAACAAAATATGAGTTTTATTACCAAAAAAGAAACCCATTTGGTAAATTCAAATTCTGTTTAGCTGTGCAATTGCTGGTTGAAAAACCATGGAACTCACTTGTACAAATAGGATGCAATCCCCAAAATGACAAACAGAAGAATGATATCAATACAGAAATTTTGGGTGGACCGGACCTGAAATAATATGGAGTATTATTTAAGAATGATTAAAGCTTTAAATAAAAAGGGCCTCCTATTTGTTTTGCATTTTAACAAGCAATAAGGTAAGAAATGTTTTGTAGCCAGTTCTGGTTTATTCTTCATAACACTTATTTAGCCGAAATAGTATTGGCACATGCCTTTCCTTTTCAGAAAAACTTAGCACATTACAGCAAAATAACCATTACCAATCGGACCCTAATTAGTATGTACCTTAGTAATAGTCTCCTTGAGTCTAACATTAGTGTTTTTTAAATCATATGTTGCCTTGTCCACCTACATATGAAGACACCAGAAGGGTATTGGATGGTAACAATAATCCAAAATTGATTAAAGTGCAGTAAATCCAACGGTCATATATGAAAAGCATGAACAACCTTGGTTTCAATTTCATCAACCAATGGAACTTGTCTATCCAGTTCCTGAGAAAAAAAGTCGCAAAACAATAAGATTGCATTTGCCTTCAACCAGAAAGCAACATACTTTCATTTCCCCCTTGTTCTCTTTCACTTTAGGGTCAGTGTGGAACACACAAACTACTTTGTAAAGAAAATAGGAAGGAAAACATAGAGGAAAATCAGAAAGAAAGAAATTATGAATGAAAATAAAAGCCGAGTAAACTCATTAAATTTATTTTAGATATATGTTGATACTCGTTAAGTCGTTTTTATTTAATCATACATTATAATCAGTTATTTTTCCATCATATGCAATGGATCGAAAGATTCATTACTTTTTGGCTTGAGAATATGATGGAATAAAGCAAAATGGCTCACTAAACTGTCTGCGCTTCTTTGTTATTAAGCAGGAGTCAGTCCATGCAATTTTGGACGCGATTTTCACTATGGGTCATCCGGAAACAGTCTCTCTGTGCTGTAGTACAGGGGTAAGACTGCACACATCCGACCCCCCCTTACCCTACCGTAGGTGGGAGCCTTTGCGGCACTGGGGTAAATGAAAATGAAAATGATTATCATCAGTTAATACCAAACCTATAAAAGCTACATGGTACTTTTTTAGTATTTTATTTCCTTTCAAGACCATATAATGCGATCAAAACATACTCTTAAGTCTTAACTCTTAACTCCCTTATGCTATGTTTGGATTGTAGAAAATACTCGGGAAATGAAATAATTATTAAGGAAAGTAAATTTCATTATTTGGATTTAACTCGGAAAATGCAAAGGAGGATGAAATATAGTTTATGTTTTCATAGATTTTACATATGTTTAAATATGTGCTTAGGCTATGTTTGGTATGGTGTAATGCAATGCAATAGAATAGAGTATGTAATGCAATAAAATTGTAATGTAATGGAATGAAATCAATATTCCATTACTATGTTTGGTTAGTTGCGGAAGAACACCCGGGAGGAATAAAAAGTACAGATTTGAAAGGGATAAATTCATCTGTTGTGAGCAGGAGCAACTGGTCGCACGAAAAAAAAATACAAGAAAGTGTAATTTCAAGTACATAACTTTTCTAATGTAAAGCTTATTACACAAATTAAAGTAATGAATTCTACATACGTAATGCACATTGCATTACGGTTTATAATAAAATGTCATACCAAACAATGTATTTGAATCAACACGTAATGTTCATTACATTACATGATTGATTACATCATACCATACATAACCTTAGTGTTTATATGATAAAATTCAATAAATAATCTTATGTAAACGAATTAGAAACAATACTTTTCTTTCCTCAAAATTTTCTTTCCCTCCAGATTTCTCATACGTAGTATATTTTAACCCGTCATTTATTTCCCTAGCATTTCCGTGTTCCAAATGGATCCTTAGTGGGCAGGGAAGGGCAGAATAAAGGGAGTAGGGAGATTAACCTCGTTCATATCATGAGCCAAATTCTTAAGTGTGTCCAAACCTTCTGAAATAATATCCAATCCTTGGTCCTGCAAGAGTTCATTCAGATATATGTAGTCTCTTTATGATGCTGAAATAATCTCATATTACAAAATCGAAGTATTCAAAAACATATGGTGCAGAGGAATAAGATGAGGGAAGTTACAAGCCTGTTTGATTTTCCTCATCTCGTACTCATTCCTAAACTGGCTGGATTCTTCAGACTGCTGAAAGAAACTATCGCTAACAGGCCCATCTGTACATAATAAATTCTAAAACAGTCATAAAGCATGCAACAAACATTACAAGAGATGAAGTTTGAGGAAACACTAAAGGAAGTGTCACCTACCTGAATCGATTGTTATGATTTTAGAAGACGATGAACCCCCCCGAACCCCAGACTTGGCTGAACTTGTATCATTTGTTCCATCAGGTATTGCTTGGATCCTTTCAGGTAGTGCAAGTACAATGTCTTTACGTATCGCTAATTCTTCTTGTGAGATGCCTTTAACCTGTTGGCAATCCAAATCAAGTTATACTCTTCCTTTATCACTTCTAGGGATTATTGAAAGGTGAAATTACATTGACTCATTTAAATACATTAAAGCTAAATCAGCACTTTACATGAAAGTCAGTAGAAATTCAGATCAATAAATCATAATATCAACAAGTTACGACTGAACATGTCCTACTTGATGAAAATGGAAGCTCATTGAAACAGAAAAATCTGTGAATTCTGTATGCTCGTTATCATATATGCTCATGGATTGAGTTTACTATGGCTATCAAATTAAGATTCAAAGTTTCATAAAAAAATTCTATATCATCAAACTTATATAAGGGGCAGCAAAAGTCTTATAAGTTGGTCTATTAATTTATACTCCGTATTACACAAACATAAACTAAATAAACATACATATTATTCGAAATATTACACCAATTCAAAATGTGAGACATAAAAATACCTAAAGCCTAAAGCTAAAGGATAATAATAGACAATAAAGAATTAAAATCGTGACGAAACAAACCCACCTTCTTAAGAGCAAGTTTCTGCAACTTTGGGACTTCTTCCAACAATCGGGCCTTCAGACGCCGTACCTCAGCCTTCATGGCCACAGCGGCGGCCCTGTTTGTCTCCCTAGTTGCCATCTCCGCTTTCTTAAAAAAGAAAAAAAATTATAAATCGCTGTAGCAATTTCTCATAAATCTCTGATCAATAACAGGAACAGAAGAGGTAATTACTTGGAGAGCAAGGTCAATTTGTGAATCGAAAGACGTGTAGAGGCGAGCGAAGGCATCATCTGAGGATGCGTTGGTGGAACGCTGCTTCTCGACATCGTACTTCTCGTACTTCTTGCAAATCTCGTCGACTCGGAAGAGAATGTCGATCACGCTCATCTTTGCGCTGCCGGCGAGGGTGAATCTTGGAACGGAAGTCGGGAAAGGGAATTGCTTCTTTTTCTCCCTTCCCTCCCTCCATTGTTTCTCTCCCGCTGTTCAACAGGAGTGGTCTGCGGGAAAATGGAGGTTCACCGTCTAATGCGCATCCAGCGAGAGACGTGGCGGATGGCGGGAGGCCGGGAGCCATGGAAATCACTCTGTGGCTCTATTCTAAATTCATACGGAGTACTTTTTTTTATACTTAAATGTCACTAACTTGTTTAATAAACCGGACAGAGAAGCTACTGGGTCACATGATCGGGTCACTCGTCAATCCGGACCGATTAACACGGTCAACGTCATAAACCGGTCAACCATATAATAATGATAATAAATATGTAATTATTTACAAAATTAAAATATAAGGTAGTTATTTCATAATAATTAACTAATGATAATACTTACTAAGCATTAAAACCGGGGTTTTCAGGCCCGGGTCTGGACTGGGTCTTTCCGGGTCGATCGGGGTTTTCCGGGTTTTGACCATTTCCGGGTTTTTAACTAATCGAACCGTGTTTTGGTCCGGGTAACCGGGTTCCGAGTCGACCCGGCCAGTCCGGGTCGTTTTTTTTAAACACAGACTAACATTTATTTTTAATTTTAATGTAAAAATAATTACATATCTATTTAGTTTAAAAACGTGACATTTAACTTGTGCGGGTGGTCACAAAAAGCAAACCGAACAGGGACATAAACATTCTGTTTACTAACCGGAATATTTTTAATTTTTTAGAAAACTGGAAAACTAGAGAAATGAAAACTGAAAAGCATGTTTACATGTTTATTCTCCAAAATTAAAAACAGAGACATATTTGATTTTCTTCTTAAGTTGGAGAACTCTCGCCACGTTTACTAACTAGAATATTTTCTATTTTTCCATAAAACTAGAAAAACTGAAGAAAGAAAAATTGAAAAACATGTTTACCTATTTAATCTCAAATATTGAAACATAGAGACATATTTCTGATTTTCTTTTCAATTTTCCAAAATTAAAAAATGAAAACACAGAACATGTTTATCGAAAATTTTTGCTAGAAAATGGAGAAAAGAAAACATGCATTTACCAAATCATTTTTCAAAACCAAAAAAATGAGACATGTCTCCATTTTCCTTAATAAATTGGAGAAATGAGTTCTACTATTTTTTTACAAATTTGACATACGCCGATGTTGTAGTGCTACTGCAATGAAATTGCATATTTACGCCTAGTGGTGGGCGTGGTCCTGCTCCGCTCTCCGTTTCGATCAGGTCCGGTCAAAAATCGGCGGTCTCTATCTGGTCCGGTCAACAATCGGGTGGTTCCTGTCCGATTTGGTCGATGACCAGGCGGTCCCTGTCCGATCCGGTCAATGATCAATCAGTCTCTATTTAATTCAGTCCATGGACGGGTAGTCCAAGTCCGGTCCGGTTCAATTGATGACCTGACGATTTAGTTCCTGTTTTTTGAAATCAGTTTTCAAAGTGAAGTGTTTCAAAAAAATCGTTGGGTTGTCAACCAATAGGGTAAAGAGAAAAGAATTAGTCAAACTAGTCGTTGGGACCGACCAGTTTTAGTCCCAACTATCTTATACCCGGGACTGGGTACCCTACTTCACTACTTTATCTTCCGATGGGTCCCAGAACCGGGTTAAAAATTTGATGAATATGTTTACAGATTTGGAAATGGAAAACTTAAAAACGAAAACAGAAAATTGGAGATAGAAAATCTAGAAAATTGCATAACAAAAAGTAGAAAAGAATACTCGAAAATGTCTCTATAATTAAATGTGTCCTCACTTTTTGGTGTTTTTCAAAATGGATATACACAATGCTATATATATGTTGAGGTTAAGTCATCACATTTTAAAGGCCCAACATTGTCCCTTGAGCTTTGGTCAGATTCTTTTAGTTGATTGGTTATTGAGTGTGGTAGACAAGAATGAGGCACATGTAATAGAAAGTCTTCAAGAGGCAAAGCAGGTCTAGTCTATTATGCCGTTAAAACGATTACAATATTTATGCCGAATCCGAGCTCCGACTCCCTGGATCAAACTTGTTAGAGTCCCACACCGGAAATATTTGAATCAACGAAGTGCTATTTTAAGGCATGAGCTACTCCTCCTATCAGGTTGACCTTTTAGGATGGAACCTCATGTCTTAACAAAACTGAAAATCAAGAGAACCGGAGATAAATCTATTGCTAATATAGATTTGGACTTGAAAATGACTGAAGTCTATATAGATTTGGACTTTATGTCCGCTAAGTATGTTGGCCAACGATGAATATTGATTTAGCCGACTTGCTCCTTTTTTTCTAGAAGAAAACAGAACTGGTCGAAACTGGAACAGTTATATCTCAGGATTCCAATTTTACAACAGTATTAAGGAAGAAAATTCAATTCAATGTGGGTGGGTAATGCAGAAGCTGGGCGGCTGGCCGCCCAAAACAGAACAGAAACAGTCGTATACGCGCGTACGCTCCTCGACCCCATCCGCCTTTGATCAATTCCTTGCAATGATCCAATGAATGTAGAGTATAAATATTGGACCAGCCGGCCGGCACCAAACAAAAATTAATCAGCTAGCCGCTAGAAATTAAGCATTATGTATACGTTCAGTACGAGAAAGCAGATGCCTTTCTCCTCTTTTCTTTTTACTGCTTCTCTGCTCATGATGATCTGTGTTTTCATTTGCCAGTTTGATGCAACACAGGCACAAGAAGTTGAGGACGAAAGGGAGTTCGATTACGACGAGAAGAGCGAAAAGGGCCCGGGGAGATGGGGAGAGCTGAAGAAAGAATGGGCTGCTTGCGGGGATGGAAAGATGCAGTCTCCCCTCGCCCTCTCCGCTCCGATCATCAAACGCCGCGGTGGCGTTCGCAAGCCGGGAGTTAAGATCACTAGGAACTCTTACATGCCAGCGAATGCTACTCTTCACAACCGTGGCCATGACATATCCATTGAATGGGTGGGTGATCCGGGATCCATTCCTATAAATGGCAAACACTTCTCCCTCAAAGCGGTTCATTGGCACTCTCCTTCCGAGCACACTCTTCATGGTACCAGGTATGATCTGGAGCTACACGCATTGCACATGAATACAGACCAAACGAGTGGAAAGAACACAACAGCTGTGTTTTCGGTTCTCTACCGCATTGGTCGAAAACCCAACCGGTTTCTCTCCCGGCTGACGAAGAACATAGCATCTATGAAGGATCAAAAAGGTGAAGTGAGAAATGCAGGGTTTGTTGATCCAAATAAAATCCAATTCATAAGCAATGATTATTACAGATACACGGGTTCTCTCACTACCCCGCCTTGCACCGAAGACGTCATTTGGACTGTCAATAAAAAGATACACAACGTTTCCAGGAAGCAAGTAAAGCTGCTTCGAGAAGCAGTTCATGACTCTGCAGAAAGAAATGCAAGGCCTCTACAACCGCGCAACAATAGAGATATATATCTCAGACTGTCGTCTTGAGTGATCAACTGATCATAGTATCATAGATGATTATCATTAAAGAGAAAGTTAGAAATTTTGTCTCATAACTTATGCACATGACATACTCTCTTTTAGTCATGTAGTTTTAAGTACTTTTTTTTATTTATTTTGATTTATCATGTGACTAATAAATTCAAATATATTAAAGACTTTTTCATCTGAATGTACTATTTATGATGAAATATATATAACAAGTGATGGGAACTTGACCATCCATTAGACCCCCTTTGATGTTTGAACAACTCCATTGCAAACAAAAGTTGTGATCTATATTTTTAAAACAAAAGGAAAAATTTCATTGAATGTTGAGCAAATGTGATTACATAGAAAAGGTGAAAAGGAGAAATAGAAAAATAAAACAGCCAAAGCAAAGTATATGATAAATTGATAACTCAACCGTAAGTACTAGGAATCATCGATTCATATGTGATTGAAATTTCTATAAAGTTTCATTTTCGTGTTGAGATTCTGTCTAAACAAGGTTTGATCTATCATATATAAACATAATAGTGAAGGCAAAATATTTTGTGCGGTAAGGCATACATATTTTTAGTTGGGTCGCAGCCATTTTGGGGTGAAAACTTTACATTTGGGGTTTTCACCCCTCCCATTGCAGCCAGCCTAAGTGTGAACCCACTTTGAAAAGAAAATTAAAAAAAACCTTCGTAAATCGAAGAGAAACAAAAAGGTAATACAGTACAATTCATATACGATAGTAAGAATGAAAGAAAATCATTATTTTCAAAGTACATTAAATGAAAAACGAATTTTGTAAAGCTCAACCTGTCAACCATACTAGGCATTTAATAACAATGCCTAGTGCCCTCCTTAATTGCTGCAGAGAGTTTTCAATTCTTCTACAGCGGTCCTAGTGAGCAGAATGGATGCATTGAACTTTTTGAGAAAGTTAATTAACTTTATAAGAGTTTAATCCATTGCACCTTCCTTAGCTTCTTGTACAACAGGAAGAAACATGCCACAAGCCGCACATACCACCCACTTTGGGGATTGGGAAAGTGAAGTAGCTGGAGAAGAAATGGAAGAACGAGTAGCTAGCGGTCCCAGTCATAGCTATCCGTCTGAACCTTGTCTATGAAATAACTGACCCTTTGGATCTTCTTTTGCATACATAGCGAATACAGAATTGGGGGATTTTATGGTACTTGAGGTACTATCATACATTTGTCCACATTGGTAGTTGAATTATTAAAATATAAATTAAGTCAAGTAGCTTGTGGTCTGATAGCATCCTAGAGCAGATACTATAATATGTTTAGAAGAATGTTAAAAAAAAAATACTCGTATAATTAAATCAAATGAATAATAGGTAGGGTACCTCATTTTTAAAATAGATACCTCAAAATTTCACAAGGCCATACCTGAGGCAGTTCCAGGTGCTAAAGTTATTTTACAACAACAATTTCACTAATGCTAATGCCATAACCTTCAGAGAGCCATACACATGCAGCTAGGGCATCATTCTCATTCGCTTCCTTTTCTTTGAAAAGAATGAATTGTGTGTGTTCGAGGTTCCCAAGTTTCCCATTGCAACTTATTTCTGAAGACGAATTTTGATGAAAGAAAGAATTTCTGGATGTGTGAATGTATGACGAATTCTTGATGAAAGACATAGTTTCTTGATTTATGATGACTTCTTGATGATTTTTCCCTACCTTTTGATTTCGTGTATATTAATGGAATCTCAGAGTGATTCAAGGAGACCCCTTGATTCCAAGACTTATACTCTCTATTATTATACATTTACACTGTAGTAAATGTTAACTTCTTTCGATTGAAAATACACTAATAAATTCCAACGAGATAATTAATTTGTCTTTAAAAATAATCATTACGTCAAGTAATGTCAAAGAACTTATTAGGTGAGCCATTAGATATTGAGAATTGATTCACCATTAAGAATTCTAATAACGAGTTCATGTGGGTGAATTAATACATTAAAAAAGATCACTATCATACAAGTGTTATATTCACTTGCCCCAGAATCAATTATCCACTTGCAAAGTAAAGGAGTGTTCTTACCATTAAATGACATGAATGCGCACACATATATATAGCTTAACCATAGGTGTGTAAATATGTGATTAATTAAACTCCGATCCTAGTAAAATTCAAAGCTACAATGATTTTTGCTAGTCCTTAATGAGTTTTCTGCTTTTATGCTCAGAGGATGTGTAAGATTCAAGTGCTTACCGCTATACTAAAAGTAATCGCTTATAGCAAGACCTCCTTTCTCCCTTATAGAGGCCAACCAGCGCCACAAGTTGATTTAGGACGATATTGATCAATGATCCAACAAGACGTCTAAGCAAATAGGGAGGCCAGGGAGTCAATCTTGAACTAAGAAGCCAAATCTATGTGCACGAGGTCAAACCCACTCTCAACTAGGCATGACAATGGGTCGGATTAGGACAGATGTTGCAAGATACAAGCTTGCCCCATTACTTTACTAGATGGATTCGTCCCGCCCCATAACCCACATGAGTCATTAGATGTTGACCCATGATCCACCCCACCCCACCATATCTTATTAGCTAGTACCATGAGAGGATTATATTTGTGCTATAAACAAGGTAGGCATGGGCTACACCTCAAAAATTGATTCTAGCTTAGAGGGTAGTAGTGTTTCTATCAAAATTTTGGGAGGCTTTGGGTCGTGTGTTCAAAGTTTTACGGGTGCATTCACTAAATATTTATCTTTTTAAACACCAACATATGAAAATTGATGATTAACAAGCCACACTACCTCTCATGAAGAATAATAATATAAACTATACAAACTCAAACGCCTGAAACGAAGAATCACCCCACATATATCTGCCCCTAACATCTCAAAGCTTTTTCCTTTCTCATGAATTGTTTATGTTTTTCATAAATGCCCTTTTACTTTTCTTTTAAAATATACTACTCAAATTTATATTCCTAAACTTATGAAGGGATCTTTCCTTGAATATTACAAATTATATCCAATTTCCAAAAAGTGTTCATTTTTGCAAAAGGATAAAAATGTGACTAAGAATGTCATAAATTTTGAAAACATGATTTTATTGTCATATTTTCATGTCATGGCCAATTTTTTATGTCACAAACGGATCCCACTTCTAGATTTTCATGTTACTTACGGATGTCACTACCGTTGTGAAACATGTCATTGTGACTTCTAGGAAATCTACTGTCGACTTGTTGCGAAAAAACAATGACATCCACGGCTGGTCACATAGGTTAGTTACAGTCACAACATAATTTTTGATGAAATGTGTTTGCCAAAACCGTCACCCGCCACCGTTCAGGCACCACCATTCCACCGCCACTGTCGTCTCCCCGTACACCGCCTACTGTTCGTGTCCATCCCCATGCCAAAACACCCCAAACCCCATCCCATGCATCCTCTCCACCCTATCCTTGACCTGCCCCAGCCACCTTCCCCAACTCCACTAGCTAGCTCCGACTAGCCCAACCCTGATCCAACCCTCCCCATCCCTAGCCCCGAATAGTGTAACCCAACCCCTGATCCACCCTCCCCATCCCTGATCAGCCCAACCCTGACTCGACCTACTATTTCCCCTCTCCAGCCCCAACCAATGCCGCCAAGCCATCACACCTGAAATGTAACCGCCACCACTGAAACCCTAGTCGTTGCCTCTATAACTCAGCCATCGGGTCATCTCATTCTAACCGAACCCTAGTGACAGGACATCATCGATGATGGTAGCAGATCTGACGTTCGTCACTGAGTGCTAGTCCCATGTCACAGTAGTCATCGTCACACATCTTATGATCTTTGCGGTCGTCCTTAGTAAGAGTAAGGTTAAGAAAAAAGAAGAGTACAAACCTAGAGGAGATGGCATGGGTTGGCTGCAATGAAGACAATATCGGCAGTGTGGATTGGCTTCAATGAAGACGAGTGTGGCATGGATTGGTGGAGGAAAAGCCACCGATGGGAGGCAATGAAATTTGAGGGATTGGTCGGGTGAAGCTTGATCGCAAATTATACCGTGGGACCGTTACACTGTGCGCACGGTGTACCAGTCCCCAAACGGAATCGTTTTGTTTATAAAAAAATAACCTATGTAGCCTATGATAGCGATGAACAGGGAGTATATCGGGAGCCGCCTCCCATCAAGGTTGCCTCAAAATACGAACTTAAGGACTTCAATCGGAGAAAGAGATGGGAGATGTGGGACTGCCGAGCAAAGGACTGGTAAGACGGTGGAGTGGTGATCCGTTACCTCCTTTGGGGCAACAGAGATGGAAGCTGCATCCATGGTAGAGTGGGGCAGAGCTTGGCCACCACCAATTTGAGAACGATTTGGCTGGAGCTTCGTATCAAGTGCTCCACAGAATTAGAGATATGCTTTTATAAATTGAATCTGTTGTTCTTAGTCCATGGATGTTTCTTCAAGCTTTTGTTTATGCTGCTATGGAGTTCGAAGTCTACGGATGAGTGTCGGGCTTCTCATTTTTATTCATCTGCAACAACTTACATTTTTTTAAAACGATTTACATTTTCATTTACTTCAAGTCTTCAAGTTACACATCAAAACAATGCGAGTTACACAACAAGGTAAACCCTTGTTATTCAAAAAATGAATTTTTATTAAAAATCATTTTTCTTTTTTTTTTGGATAAACTGTAAATATATATATATCCAAAGTGTATATGTACATCTGTACAGCAGCAAAACAGATCATATGGGTCATCCCAAGCAAGGATACCCAGTCACCTCCAAAAACTACCTATAGCTACGCAAACATGCTAGCCATCACAAAACATGGTGACGAATCAGCAAAAAATCAGAATGTTATCCTATCTATTGGATACATGTAATATAAGATTTTATACACCATAAACTTGATATGTTTAACCATATCTAACACTGTCGTCTTGGCCTTCTCAAAACAAATCAGATTTCTCATCCGCCAAGTCCAATAGACGGTGTAGCAAAAAGAGAGCCTCACGGCCTTGGCCTTAGCACTTGCTCCATGATGTTCCTTCTTGATCCATTTAACCGCACTTAAAAGTGTAGTCATCTGTCTAGATATCCCAAGCCAGTCACGAACCATCTTCCATACCTGTCCTGTAAATGCACACTCAAAAAATAGGTGTGGCACCGTTTCCGGGTCACCCTTACAAAAATGACAAGTATTAACCACATCAAGAAAACCTAACCTATCATACGTCGCTAGTCTTCCCCGGAAGGCAAGCCACGTAATGAAAGAGAATTTAGGTGGAATATAGCTCTTCCAAATAAAGGACATCCAAGGGTGGACCGTACCTTTAATTCTAAGTAAATCATACACTTTTGAAGAAGAATGTTTCCCATTTTGGGAGAACTTTTCCAGCTGAACGACGGCCATATCCAAAGAAGGGAACTTGGAAACAATCAAGTCCCGGATATTAGCAATTGTCTTCATGAGCCGTGAGTCCTTGGTGTGTGGCCCAAACGTCCACACATCTCTTCCATGAAGATAAACCCCATGCACCCACTTTACCCATAAAGTTTCTTTTTTGGCATGAATATTCCAAAGGGTACGAGACAGTAAAGCACTGTTCCACACCTTTGTATCCCTAATTCCCAAACCCCCCTCATTTTTCGGTAAACATACATCACTCCACGCTACCTTAGCACGCTTACTTCCCCACAGAAATAGTCTACAAAGGGAGGTAATCCTATCTAGGATGGCCCTCGGCATAGGAAAGATACCTAGCCAAAAGGATTGGACCCCTTGCACAACGGATGAAATCAACTCAACCTTCCCGGCATAGGATAAAGTTTTTGAGTTCCATGCCTCAAGATAACCTGTAACCTTGTCAATCAATGGAGAGAACTGAGCTACAGATATGTTCAAAGGAGCCAAAGGAATACCCAAATATCTTACCGGAAAAGATCCTTGTTGAAAACCTACCCTTTCAAGAATATAAGGAATTCTACTTTCGACATTCCCACCTAAAAAAATATTAGTTTTATCAAGATTAACCATTAGACCAGAAACTAGTCCAAAGTCATTCAAAGCATCCACTAATATTTTAATAGATGAGTAATGTCCTTTAGAGAAAAGCATCAAATCATCTGCATAAGCCAAATGTGTTATTTTAAGCTTA